TATGCAGGTCAGGTTGGCCTTCAACTCACTTTGTAGTTTAGATTGGCCTCAAACTCACAGAAATCCTTCTGCCTCAGCTTCCTGAGAGCTGGGATTATAGGCGTGCACCACCACATCCAGTTGGGTAATAATTAAGAATTAAAATGGACCGGCGAGATAGCTCAGTAGAATAAGAGCTTGCCTGGCAAGTACAAGGGCCTGAGTTCAATCCCGAGTTCCACCAAAAAAAAAAAAAAAAGCATTAAAAAATAAAAATAAAATCCACTGGGCATGATGGCACATGCCTGTAATCTCAGCACCCTAGGAGGCTGAGACAGAAGGAGTGCAAGTTTGAATCAAGCACAGGGAACTTAGAAGGCCAGTCTCAAAATACAAATTGAAAAGGGCTGCAAATATAGTTCAGTGCGAAGATCCTGGGTTCAACCCACAGTACTGCAAAAACAGAAAACAAACAAACAAAGAACTTAGACTGAAGATATAATTCAATGGTAGATCATGTGCCAGGCTCTGGATTCAATCTCAAGCACCAAATAAACCAAACCAAACCAAACCTTAACTATTACTATAATCATTACCATTACTGTTAATTCGTGGTTAGACTAAACTTAATTCGCTCTCCTACAAATTATGCAAGTAGCCTACTGCCTTAAAAATCCTTGAATATACCCCCAGTGAAAATAACAAGTACAGAAAGAAAAAAAGTTGTGTGCATATTGCTGCTAATGTTTTGTTTTTGTTTTTTACAATCCTAGAGTTGAACTTGGGACTTTGCATGACATAGGTAAGTGCTCTACCACTGAGAGGGATACACTGAGTGCTTTTTAGTTTTAGACAGGATCCTGGAAAATTGCCTAGAGTGACCTCAAACATTTGCTCCTCCTGGGTTACCTGTACAACTAGCTAAGATTACAAATATGTACCACTGTGCCCAGTAAAAAAAAAAAAAGTTTTTTTAAACTAAAAAGTCATCCTTAAAAAATATTAAAGGGGCTGGTGAGATGGCTCAGTGGTCTAAAGCACCTACTTAGAACAAACTTAGCAAAGCACAGGGACTGCGGTTCAATCCCCCAGCACCACATGCCAGCCAGCCC